GAGATAGTCGTTGAAAACCAGAGTTCTAAAACTTTTTGCCATTTTTGCGTGTTTTTTGACTTTTGAGAGTTAAACTCTTATAAATCTTGAATGTGGAAGTGTATAATGTTGCGACTTCATAGGTTTTATAGAGTAAGGTTTGCCTTATCAGAATATGTCTTGTCCGTTCCGATCCATTGAAACATCTCCGAGATCCAGGCTCTTGAAAAAGCAGGTAAAAAACAGCTTTTTGAACTTCAACAGCTCGTAACTTCTTCAGAACTGCATGAATCATGTTGCGACTTCATAGGTTAGATTCTTCTCATCAAGAGCTTTCAGATGATATATGATATGTAAGGGTTTAGAGCCTCCTACGAATTATGCCCGGGGGGGGAGACTTTTTAGGCCAAAGTCTCCCCCTCGCCCATCCAGCCAATACATTAAAATGGGCGAGGGGGAGACTTTGGCCTGAAAAGTCTCCCCCCCCCCGGTCATAATTCGCAGGAGGCTCTAAACCCCCACATATTATATATCATCTGAAAGCTCTTGATGAGAAGAATCTAACCTATGAAGTCGCAACATGATTCATGCAGTTCTGAAGAAGTTACGAGCTGTTGAAGTTCAAAAAGCTATTTTTTACCTGCTTTTTCAAGAGCCTGGATCTCGGAGATGTTTCAATGGATCGGAACGGACAAGACATATTCTGATAAGGCAAACCTTACTCTATAAAACCTATGAAGTCGCAACATCATACACTTCCACATTCAAGATTTATAAGAGTTTAACTCTCAAAAGTCAAAAAACACGCAAAAATGGCAAAAAGTTTTAGAACTCTGGTTTTCAACGACTATCTCTTAAATCGACCCGATTCCTTCACTAGCTGATAGAGCAACATCTACTCTTCAAAACCTATGAAGTCGCAACTGCTGACATCTTCAAACAACAGATTTATAACAGTGGAAATTTCGCATGATTTTTCACTATTCAAATATTCAAAATTCTGGTTCTCGGCCGTTACTGCCTGGATCGACCTACTTCCTTCGCTATACGTTATAACATAATTTGCTTAATAAAATCCGTACAGTTTTGCTAAGCTTTACTTCCAAATACACCATTTACTAAAAACCTTTATTTTAAATATATATGCCGCCGTATACATAAATATATGCTTTCAATAATCTTTTTTGCGTTTGTTTTGCTTATTTTCCTTCTTTGTCGTCCAGCGAAAAATTTTTTATTCCAAAAGTGAAGGTGGTCACCCCGTACCAGCTCAAAAGTGAAGGTAGGGGGAGACTTGGCTCCCCCTATCGCACCTCTGATCGTCACATCATATTGCTAATGTGAGCTGCTTGATGTTATTGAGGAAAGCCCACGTATCGAAGTTTGTGTAACAACTCTTTATGAAGGCCAATTATAATTGGCGAATTGGTGATCTACGCTAATTCGTTATCAGATGCGTATTTCCTTCCGGGATTTCAGTGCAGCTCTGTAGCTTTCCAAAGAAATTATCATCTCCTCAAAATTCTCATTCTAGTAAAGTTTACGAACGTGCATTTGAAATTTTTACGATATAAAAAGCATGATGCGTGCAGCAAAGAAAAAGTTGCTGCCAAAATTAATCCATGTAGATCACGCTACCAAATGAAGGTGATGTATTTTTATTTGATTGCGTTTTTGATATGGACGGTGTAGAAAAACTTCATACTCATCATCAAAAAACGTATGCTTCCCTACTGGCATGCATGTAGTGCACATTTCAATTGAATGTGACTAGATGATGCTGCAAGGAGGCAGACGTAGTATAGTAGAGCATGCAATCGAACTAGAAAAACAATAAAATAAGTCGAAAAAGGCAATGAAAATGTCTCACAGATCAAAAACATACCACCTTAGAAAGTGGCCGGCGATTTAAATAGTGTGGAGTAGAGCGAATAATTCATTCCAGGGAATTTGGAGAATTTAGGAATTTTCTAGAGAATTACCTCCAGGATCTCATTGTGGAGTAGGTTGTCAGCGATGTGAAACTCGTCCGCCTCCGCGGCGCGTCTGCCCAGGTCAGCCGCTCGCTCCCGCGAGCTAGCCAATCATGGAGTGACCTCTAATTAGCGCTGACCTCTTATAGCCGTCGCGACTGGGGCAGGTTCAGAAGGGCCTACACCCGGTCCTATACTACAGCGCAGATTCTTCCAGCTGGTGGCCGGACGGCAAGAGGAGGTCTTACAAATATAAACTGGGGTACTATTCCACAGAAAAATAGAAGAAAGGGAAACTATTAACCTAATAAAAGAACTTCTTGACATAATGTCGCCACATTAGTTGACCCAAAAATTAAAAATCGTGAATTTCGCTAAATTCTCCACTGGGGGGGGGGGGGTTATTTGGTGTGCTGAACACGAATATGATGTTTATCTCGTGCGACAGGCCATCCGATGAAGTTACGGTAGGACTACAGTTTGCCCCAATCCTAACCAGGCCAAAATTGGCTTGGCGTCGCGAGGGTTTTGCGCCACTTCTGCGTCTAGCTAGTCTGCTCTCTCCTCAATCTCTTCGCTCTCTGCGACAGCGCGTATGCAGCGCAAACCCCTAGCGCTGCGAGCGCGCAAATTCAGCCGACGGTTCGGCCTGATTCCGACTGAGACTGTCCGGTAGGGGGTTAAGACCACGGATTTGCCCGAAACTTGGCCCAGAGGGGTTATTTGGCCCGCTGATGCCAAATATCACATTGGTTTAGTGTAGCGTCGTTTTCTCGGGTTACGGTAGCTACACGGTAACGGGTGTAAAACATGGTTCTGCCTGAAACGGGTGTACGGCGATTTGGACGATCGTGAAGCTTTGCACACACGCCGCGCGCTACACAACCTGCTGTGGCTTTTGCCTAAGCAAAGCACAGGAGAAAAATACATTTGCCGATTTGTGATTTTGACCCCTACCGTAACCATGTAGGGAGACGTTTTCGAGCGGAGAAAGTGTGACATTTCTAATCAGCGTGTCGAATAATCCCTCTGTGCGAAGTTACAGCGGATCTGAGATTTTGACTCCCTTCCGCACACCCACCGTAACCCGAGAAAATGACGCTACGGCACAAAACCAATGTGTTATTCAGCATCAGCGGTCGAATAACCCCTCAGGGCCAAGTTCCGGGCAAATTCGTGATTTTGACCCTTACCGCATACCTACCGTAACTCCATCGTATGGCGCTGTCGCACGAAATAAACATCATATTCGTATTCAGCGTACCAACTAACCTCCCTAGACGAAGTTTTAGCGAAATTCACGATTTTCATTCTTTGGGTCAACTAATGTGGAATAGCGCCGATATTTGGTCAAAGTGGTGTTTCGATATGGAATGGAAAATTCCTTATGAAGCTTGAAACGCTATTTCCAACTCTGCCATGAGTAACTGCAAAGCGCTTTTGGAAGGGGAGTTATGGGACTTTTTTGAAATGTAAAAATCGCGTTGCTAAAATCAAATCATTCAGACTGCAATCCTTGACCTCTTTTAAAGCCATGACTACTTTCAGAACGCTTCGTGCAATAATTGCAAGGCTTATCAAACGCAGCGTCTTGCACCAGCGCTGGACTCTGCGTCTCTTTCGCAACTATGCTCTCTAATCACTTCCACTCAGTGGCGTACCGAGGGGGGGGGGGGCGCGCGCCCCCCCCCCCTTCCCCGAGAATGGGTCGCCAAATTTTTGAAAGTTACTTATATGGGTTATAAAAATGTGCAAGTGACTTGTCTATTTTTGTAAGTAATTAAAATAATTTTTAAAAATTTTTAAAAATTCAAATTAGCCTTGTAAAAAAATTTTTTCGGGAGCGTGGCTGACGCCACGCCCCCTTTTTCCAGATTTCAGGGGTCGGGGACCCGCAAAAATTTTTAGAAACACCCCAAAAATTTTTTCGGAGTGCGTGGCTAACGCCACGCACCTTCATTGAAAAAATTTTTTTTGTCGCGCCCCTCCCCCCGAGCCGAAATCCTGGGTACGCCACTGCTTCCACTCGATTGAGGCTCCGCCTTCCCCACGCTCGCCCTGGGAAAGTGCGCAGAGAGCATGTTCGCGGAAGAGATGCGTCCAGCGCCGGAGTGGAAATGCTGATGCAAGCGACACTGCGTTTGATAGGCCCCGTACTTCCAGTCTGATAAACTCATGCCAGTCATTACTCCTTCTAGCGCCAAAGAGAGCTCAACACTTGTGTTTATCTTGGCCAAGTCCTTGACTATTTGCTCAAATAAAGTTCCCACAACTCCCCTCTCACAAGCGCTTTGCAGAAACCAAAACCAGCTTTGGAATCAGCGTTCCATCTTATATATAAAGCTGAATGTCTGTTTGTCTGTCTGTATGTATGTATGTATGTATGTATGTATGTATGTATGTATGTATGTATGTATGTATGTATGTATGTATTATGTATGTCTGTCTGTACGTATGTTCCGAATAGAAAATTCCATTTCCGAACCGATTCGGACCAAACTTGACACACATACACTTCGGGCCCCGGCGGGTGTCATAGGCTACTTTTCGTCATCGATCGATATCGATTTTATCGATTTTTTGCAAAATTTGAGCTACGGGGCTGGGAGTTGGCACAGGGGGGTAATCGAGCATGCTGATCACCCGATCAGCATGCTCGATTACACCCCCCTGCCAAATTCCAGCCCCCCCCCTAGCTCAAATTTTGCAAAAAATCGATAAAATCGACATCGATCGATAACGAAAAGTGGACTGTGACACCCGCCGGGGCCTGAAGTGTATATGTGCCAAGTTTGGTCCGGATCGGTTAAGAAATGGAATTTTCTATTCGGAACATACGGCGGAGCCGGGTAAGCCAGCTAGTGCTCTATAAGGTAGTCTACATTTCATGCGAAAACGCCACTTCGACCAATTTGCTTCCCTTGTCATACAGGATTACTGTAAACCATCGCCAGTGTTGTTACAGACGAAACTTTTCCTCACGTCTAAAGTTGTATTTGGGGATAGGAAAGTGGCGCCTGTTGTTTTTACTTTTGCTTGTCTTGATCACATCCTAAGGTGCGGCTTCTTCACATTTGTGAGTTGCACAAAATCTAATAGTATCCCTTATCCAATTTTTGCGCGGGGATGAGTTCATGCGTGCATTCAAATTATTCCGATGGGGAATCGTTGCGAGAAGTTTCAGGAGGACCTTGAAAAACTTTGGTCTGGAGGGAAATACCTTGGAATTTGATTTGGGGCTTCTTTCGTTTTCTTATCTATGCTGTAGTCGACTTTTGAACATAGCTTCCATACTTGATAAAAATGGCTAAGCGTAGCATGTTTTGTTATCTCATTGCACACGTCTTTTTCATTGAATATCAGTTTAACTTACCATTCGGTGGATTCCTATCTCCTTTTCTCGTTCCAATAAAGATCTCTTAAATAATTCTCAATTTATAAAGACCTCTTTATAGATTTAACAGAGCAACAGCTCTAATCTGTTGACCATATCATGGTCGTCTCCAAAGAATTGGAGGATGGCTTCGATTTGGATAAAATCGATGCGGAAATCAAAATTGAGAAAATTCGGCAGACAGCTTCGAAATTATCATGGGAAGGCTTCCATCAGGCTCTTCGCCGGAATTTGATGGTCAGTTTTCTATATAAAGTCTCCTTGTTCTTGATTACTTACATAAGTGCAAAGTCCTTCTTTACAGGAAAAACGCTTTGTGTTCGATACAGAGGGGCGAATTGACCTCCTACAAGCAATCTCTACTATCAGGCGTAATCTCCCCGGTACGTATCACCCAATTTTCCCCTTAGCTACCATTTTTTTGTTTTTGACATGAGATAGACTCGTCATATGTACTTTTTTGGGATATATCCATGAACCTCATTATTCTTTTCTTTTGATTATTCGATAACCGACTTTATAACGTTTTGAAAACTACTGTTTGAAGGGCGCATATTCAAAACAGCAACTCTTCTTGCGTATGACCTAATTTTCTTGCACTGTAGGGTCATCTGGTCTCACCTTACATGACTTTCTGCGCCCTTTTGATCCATGTTTAATTTCAGTGGACAAAAATGCAGAATTACCTGTGAAATTGAAGCAGCTGTCGGATAGCTTGGAGTGAGTTACTCGCAATCAGTTTCTTTTCTTATTCCCGATGTTCCTACTTCAGATGTGTGCTGACTACACAAGGCGGAACCACGCTATTGAAGAATGTGGATACATCAATCGAATTCGCGCATGAAGGCGATAATGTAAGCAATCCTTCTTCCTTTGATTTTAGTGCGCATCATGAGTCGGATCTTTCAGGTTACTGCATGCAAAATTGGTTATTTTGGGAAACCGGCGGTAGTTTGCGATGAAGCGGTCGAGTTGATACGGGCTGGTGATTTTGGTAAACTGCGAAGCAAGATTTTCACTGTTCTGGCAACAATCCCCAGCAACTTGACAGTGTAAGTCCTTGGTTACCCTTTCGGGAACATTCTTTTTGATATATCTTTGATCTTACAGAGCTGAAAAGAGCACCTGTGTCAATGCTCTCGACTCCTTTGAAGGATTCTTGCTCGCAGCCAACCGCGGGAATGCTTCTTTTGAGGCTATCTCTACTCTTTTGTATGGTTTTCTTCTCCCTAGAACTCCACTGAGACCATCCAGAATCTACTACACTGTGGAGCCCAGCTATCTTGTCACAGTTCGAAGGCAGCAATTGGAGGCAATGGGTTAGTGGACTCGCCCAAAAATTTTTTTTTACAAAAGTAATGATTTTATCAAGGCCTGTTAACTCAGAAGCTATTCTGATAGTCCGAAGGATGATGTGACACTTACATTGCGATTTGACTCAGCTATCGCATTGAATTTTGGCGCAACGAATTTCTGTAGAAAGTATTCAATGGAGTTGTTTGCGCAATTAATTACCTAAGCTTTTAATGAAATTCTCTGCGTTGGGTCTACAACATGTCACTTGAAATAAATCATGTGTTCTTCAGATTTCGACTACTTGGATTACATGGAAGTTTCGGTAGTCTCCATCGACAGAGAAATTCAAATGCCAGCTGGAGATGCGCGGTGAGTTCGGCAATAGCTACACACCTTTCTAAAGATTTTGTCATGACTTATGCATGTGTTTCTATGTCGCTCTGTGCCTTACGTTCTTCACTTTTCAAAAGATATGTGTCTGAAGTATGCACTTTAGTCCATGATTTCAGCAATCCGTGGTCGACAATGTCCACATGCAAGGCAAGTCTGCAACTTCACTTCTCCACACCGATGCTCTTTAGCTACGGTATGTGGCGGCGTCTAGAACGGCATTTGGCTAAACCAGCTGCTGTGAAAGAGAACGTAAATCTTTACCGATACATGAGCGGTTTTAAGTTCGAGGTGAGTCTTTTGGTTTATGTTGTAGTGATAATTTACCCTATTATTAGCATTGTTTAGGAACCCGAACTAGTGATGCGCACTTGCTTGCCAGAACCGCACCTCCAGCACTGGTACACTGTAAACACGAGCTCGCTGCTGGAAGAAAAAGACTGCGTCATATCTGAAATCTGTATAGGAAATGGAACTGATCTGGCTGAGGTGAGATCGAACCCATACTTGATTTGAGAATGTCGAGTATTCGACAAAAATTCTTTTGCGTTTTTAGATTGTATCCATCGTGCGAGCGCAAGCCATCCACAACAGCTTGTGGGAGTCACTACTAGCTATGAGTAGCGGCAAGTGGAAGAAAGATCTGCCGCACGTGGATATACGAATTGTCCCTTCGCCAGCGCGTTTCGAATTGTCGTTGTGTGCAAATAGTCGGATGTACCTTAGTGAGTCTCTGCTTCTATCTCAGTCCGCAGTGTGCAAAAAAGATTCGACTTTCAGTTCGCATCGAATTGACTCGTGAGTTTGAATGGGTCGGAAGCGTCGAGGATTCTAATGGCGAAAAAGTGAACCCAGAATTGGACTCAATGCTTACTACCAGAATCAATACGTAAGCTTTACTCGTTTTTTTTTTCAATCATCTCAGATTTTCAAGCTAGTCACTTTTGCACTTGATTTGACTGCATGATGCTCCAGAAATTGCAGCAAGATAATTTAAAGATACATGCTTTCTAGTCATTCGATTTTTTGTGGAAAAATTTACACCTTTGAGCTCATTGCTTACCTTCTTCTCCCTCTAGCATTGAGATCATGTGGTCGATCAGTCACTTGCTGCAAAAGTCTGTTTCAAAAAACATACATGACATGATTTATTTGCTCCATTTTTTTTGAAGGACTATTTCATGACCGGAGACTATTTCCAGAACCCGTTCGATTCCTGTAGCTCTGGTTCGCGTACTCAAAGAGCTCGGATGTCAAGGTGTCGTCACCGACAATGGCATCTCCAATGCAATGGATATCGATAATGAGACTGACATTGTATCGCATTTGGATAAAGTTGGCAATGCTTGGTTGCCAATGTTAAACAGCAGAAAACAACAAAATAAGCCACGACGACCGAAATCACCCGAGTTTATCTATGAGGTGCACGCAGTGCCGATGGCAACTCGTGGTGGACTTCTAGCTTCGTATAAGGAAATCACCTGTGACACTAGTAGTCGACCAGCAGCAGCTGCTCGAGCAGAAGCGCGGACACAGCGGGTGCAGTCCGACACTGCATTGGCTATTTCGGACCTGGTAGGGATTTCATGCTTTGAAGTTGGCATTGCTGGATATAATGAGTCAGTTTGTCAACTTCTTGACATTCTCAGTTGTCATTGCCGAAAGTCTTGCTCAGCCTAATTCTTAAAATACAAGTTCTTTGGAAATAAAACTATCGGCATGACGACTGCAGTACATAGAACTAGCGCTGCTGGGCTGGTCTCAACTCTATTCTTCAGGAGGCGATATGTCAACTGGCTGACAGCATGGATGACGATAGCAAGACTTCGACGCCGTCTCTAACGGCTAGACCCTCGACCAGCCCAGCACCGCGACCCTTGGGTGGTATCGGTGGCACTGGCCAGGGTCCAGGCAGTGGTGTACCGCAGCTTAGCCCACTTGAGACGGCAAGGCTTAACATGAAGGTCAGTAAATTGCTTTCATGATTTTAGTAGCCTTTTTTTGAAGTCTCGAAAAAGCATTGCCAACATTAATTATACATGAAGCATGATTTGCGCGGGACCACTTCTTGCGTGCAAATGGTCCGGGTATAAGACATTGATATTATATTGGTCAAGTACTGTGTGCACCGCAATGGCAGCATAGCAGATGTCAAATGTAAATGTAAGCCATTCATCGCATGCAAGGACAGGGTGTCACTACGGGCACTTTCTCCGTCTCGCTGACTGAGCGCTTTTTCTCCGTGTTGCCGTCTACGCGAACTATCATAGTCGGCGCAACAGCGTCCGGTCTTTGCGTGCGATGAGCCGTCTATAATAGCTTCCGTCGTGTAAAACCACAACGGTACATATAAGTCGAGCTGAGCCGAGTCATTAGTCGAGCTGATGTAAAATTGAGCAAACACTTCGTTGAAGGAAATCTACGCAGCATCGTAGGTGCGACAAATGCAAAAGTAAACATCGTAGGTGCGACAAATGCAAAAGTAAATAGTTCTGAATGTGTATGTATTGCAAACTACAGTCGATGTCAACCAAGTGCTCCGTTTTCTGTAGCAGCTACGCGTCCGCACCGCAAGGGCATGGTGCGGCGACTTGGATCAATGAGGCAAGAGTTTTGTATGCGCAGACCATATGCGGCGCGGGCCCGGGCGGCGCGTCGCGTTTGCGGAAAAAGCTGGTCGAAAAGGGAGCACAAGGTTGACACGGGCTGTAGGGACAATGTGACTCGTACTTGTCAATGGAATGCACCGCGTACATCATGTTATAAATTTCCATCAAAGACAGAGCAAACCTTGAAAGGATGGGTTAAAAAGCAGTTGGCGAATTGTCAGTCATGGAATGTCCAACTGGTTCGGGTAACTATTCTGCTGAGAAATATCATTTTATCAGCGTCACTGCGGTGAGATTCGTGCAAAAAAATAATACAGAGCGTATATCCTGCTAAAAAATGACATTTCAAACCTGACATACCGTGAATAGAATGTGGCAGTCTCATTTCAGATCCAGATGTCAAATTTAATAGTTGCTTTGCAGCATACCGTGAGTGCTGCGGCTGCTGTCGGTTTAGCTTCCGTATCAACAGATGTCTTTGAGTTCGCCGATGATCGTTCTGTTGGGAGTGGTTCAGCTTATCCATCACCATCGCCTCAGTATACACCATTCCCTTACAATACTGTTGGTAGTCCGCTCTCGGCAACACCGTTAAGAGGAAGTTAGTGAAGCTCGAAAGTGTCAGTGTTTTGTAATTATTGAATTGTTTCTTAGCCACAACAAAACGTCGACCTCGGGCTCGCAAATCAGCCAATATGGGTGATCGTGTTGGAGATATGTCGGCCGCTGCTGCGAAAGATCCTCTGGGTGTAAGCTTAGCTACACGAAAACCCCGTGGCAAAACAGGAGTTCGTCGTCCACGCGGTTCTCGAAGAGGAGCGCTTGCCATGACCCATGCCGAACTGGAGATGCAACAGAGGATTCCGCCACCTCTGCAGAGATCCTATAGCGATTACGAACCCATGCAAAGCATGAGTAAGTTCACTTACAAACAATATGTATATAGTAGCCTCTTCGACTATGGAGTAGAGTGCGTCTGGCGCGCGTCTGTAGAGAGTACTGAAGGCGCCCAATCCTTTACTCTTCAAGTCCAGACTGGTTCGATGATTAGTGCTTTCCAGATTTAGTTGGAACTCCCGCCTCTCCCTATGTGGATACCGAATCTGATGACGAATGCGATCCACCGCCACCACCAAAGTCTTTGACAATGTTTCCATCACCGGCTCCAAGTCAAGTGGCAGCAAGCGCTTCTTCTGGAGTGAACAGCCCTTCTCAGGTTGGCGCTTTACCTGGTTTTTCTGCATTTAATACACAAGCTGTGCAAAATTTTGTACTTTTTGTTCGCAATCTTGATCTCGTTATCAAAATCGTTCATTGCCTATTTTAGTCGATGAGTCCTCTGTACACTGCCGCTAGCACACCTTCAGCAGTTCCCCCTCACCCTTCCCCGTCACCTCTTGCGGCATCACCCTCAGTCAGTCAGCCAGCGCCTCTTCCTTCTCCTCGGCCTAGTCAGCCACGAAAGACGAGCCTGGATGCAGTTGTGGGTAAGCTGAAGACACCAACAGCTCCCCAATCCACTCCACCTGTAAAAAGAAGCGTGTTCAAGTGAGTTATTCTTGCTTTTACTTCCGTTCATTTGTACCACATTTTGTAAAAGGACGTGGAACTATCTGTATGGTGATTTTGACCAGATTGTGCAATGCTTGAATAACATTGAATAGCTTATAGTTTAGGACAACTTCTATAGTTGTCTGGTGTTTTAATTACGTGTCACTGGCTCATGTGGTTCGGATGCGCAAACGCGCGCTCAGGAATGCCGCGTTTCAAAGTATTCTTTGAGCATTCCCCACATCTGAGCGGCTACCAAAGGTTGACGTGTGTGAGAAATTGCTTAGAGAATACGTTCGCAAACGCGACGCAAAGCTGAGGTAGCCCTGCGCGACCCGAGCCGGCAACATCGCCACTGAAAGATGGTATTATGAGACGTTCAGATGAAGTGACATTTGATCCTATATTTAGTGATCTCTATGACGATGGGACTGAGTCGTCGCCTCCACCGACAGAAGGTCGCATCTCCTCAGCTTCCACAGTTTCATCGACAGCGGCGTATCCTGCATCTACGATCTCTGCATCACCTGTCCCACCAATCACAGTCACCACACCCGTGAGTCGCTCCAAATTCTTGTTTTCAAGAAGTAACGCTTGACTACCGCTTTGAGAACTCCGTGTTTGGTGCCTTCAGGATTTAGAATTTTTTCTGCGCATAAAAGATGAGATTACCCAGATGCGTGTTGCTGGTAGCTTTAACTGCTTCTCGTTTTTCTTACGGCCACAATATGAAATTGTTTTGCTTGAAGGAAACGGTAATTGCCGGCAAGATTACCATGTCCAAGCTAGACAATTCCATGTTGTGGCTGTAAGGGGTTTTCTATGCAGTTTCATATAGTTTTTCATGACTACTTCCATCTTTGTTTGGGCTGTGAAGAAGGTCATTTGATAGTAATAGTCTTTTTGAAGTCGTTATGGTCAATTGGCCAATTTGCTTTTGCCTGGCTTACAGCAAACACATGCACTTTTATTTTGCTTCGCAATGTATAAGTCATCATTATGCATTGTGGTCGATGAGACATCTCTGTGAAAATGTCATATTTTGCACATTTCTAGGCAGCAATATCCTCACCGCGGATTTCTGAGACAGGACGGGATGCATCTGTGTCCAGCGATAGTAGCTCCCAGAATCCCATACCAAGTGTAAAGATTGAAGGAGCAAGTAAACTTATCTTGAAGGTGATCTTAGAGCAGTCCTAGCCTTTTTGATGAATCACCCCATGCTTAATTTGCAGATTCCCAAGGGGTCGAGAGCTTCACCATCTGTAGAAGCACAGAAGACAAAGTCTATCCCGATGCAGACTATGCCGAAACTTGAAAAACAGGAAAAAAAGAGAGACAAGGAGAAGAAAGAAGGTCATAAGGTGAATTTTCGTAGTTGGCTATGATAAATCAAGGAGAACAAATAGGTTATTATTCTAGCTTCGTTATACTAATTCTAGATGCACTAAATATAGCTTCAGAGTTAATATTATTGCTATCACAGGTGTTTAAGGAACGAAACAAAGAAAAGTCCGATGAAGCAAGAAGGCAGAAACGGAAAGCAGAAGGGAAAGACAAGGACCGTGAGCATAAAAGGCATAAGGTGTGTGCCAAAATTTATCCGTCGTAAATAATACAATTTTTCCTAGACTGCAAAGAGTTCAGAAATTTGTGATGGTTTCAAAAATATAATCTCTCTGGACGCTGAAGGAAGACAATTTAGGGTACACCATCATCATCACAGTTTGATCCTGCCGGGAACACAACTTCAGCGAAGTCCGGAGCCGGTGCTCCGCTGACATTTGGTTTTGTAGGAAGTCTCAAAAACTTCAAAATACCGAAGGTATGAGAGTTTAATCTCTGGACCATATCCATCCTCTCATTTGATCATATTTAGCGTGAAGAGGTCAAAGACAGTCCCAAGGAGAAGGAACCTGCTCCTTCCACTCCCGTTCAGTCGGCGCCCGTTCAACCCCCTGCAGCTCTGCCACGTATGATTTGACGGGTTTTAGTTTTGTCGACTTTCTTGACTAATTTTAGCCTCTCCAGCCACCACGCCCAACCCACCACCACTTCCACCAAAGCAGGGAATACCAAGAAAAACCTCAGCACCAGTACCTCCACCGCCTATGATCCCGTTACCGCGTCAACCCCTCTTGTCAACCCCACCAACTGGACCTGCAGGTGGTCCTCCCATGGGTGTTGGGCCACCGCGAAAACCGCCGCCACTTCCGGATCATCGCAGGTATAGCGCCCACCTTAGCTTATTTTGCTTCCGAGTCTATGTTTTCTTATAAAATCGAATTTTCTTCAAAATTCTAATTAAGACCATCAATGATTGGTGCACCCCCATTTCGTGGCAGTACATCTTCAATACCACTGCCAAAAGGTCCACCGCCTCCTCAGGCTACACCGTCCTCTGGAGGAGGTACATGGATTCGACCACCTTCACACATTCCTACACAAAGCATAAGGTGAAAGCTTTATCGCAGCTTGGGAAAGACGAAATCGGTTGTCATATTTTTGGGGTTGTAGTGGGCAAAACATGAATTGGCGACGGAGCGGCTGGATCGTCGCGCAAAGCAACCAAAGTCAGTTTTAATCACTGTTATTACGCTTACCGGCCGCTCCGAGTCACCTAATGTGCAATATTTGCTTGCTAACCTTCTGTGAACAACATATGGCGTGTGTTAATTATTATTAATTATTGCACTCACGTCTACACCACTTTAACAGATTAATAGGACGTTTACATATTTTCTCTCTATGTAGGGGTAAGTTCAAAGACATATTCACTTATTATATCGCAATTACATGTATTTTTATTGAATTGACGCGATATTTTTTTGATGGGGATGTTCACATAACCCCCGTCTTCAATCATCAATCACAAAGGCTGTCTGAAATTTATATGCTCAAGCCATGCACGAGTTGTGAAGGGGATCATGGGCAACGCTCATGTGTTAGCGTGATTTTTTGGCGAATTTTCTCAATTCTCTCTGACGATCTGAGACATGTCTGGAGCAAACCAGCTCTCACGCCGAGCGCCATAACTTTTTGGGAAAGCACGATGACACATACACGGTGTGAAAGCCCGTCAGAGACTATAGGTTTCGGACAGCTTGTGTAATACTTGAAAATTTGTCTCTTTCTGGCATGCTTTCCATCTTCTCAATCCAGGCAAAGGTAAGCTGTTGACAACTAGCTTTGCCTAATTTAGAAGGATGAGAAGCATGCAAAATGACTTGGTTTCAAATAGTGGTTATCTCATCAACTCAGTTTATCTGCTTTTTGGGGCGATTTTAAGGCAGTAGATTGTTGCCTCGGTCTCTTGAGAAACTTTCCTACAAAAATGTGTTTTAGGTCACCATCACCGGATCCCAACGCAATGCAGATTGATGATGATCTCAATAGCCCAGAGGATTCACTACGAATCGCAGACGATTGAGTAATGCATTTTTAGAAAAGGTTGTGCTGTGCAAACAAGACGGGTACATAATTATTTTACCTTTCTCAATGATAATTGTAAATCACCTTTTGAAGTTTGTTTTTCTATTTATTTTCACTAACATCTAACACTGATTCTTTTTTTTGTATATAGTGTAGATCCTTTCATACTATGATATATTCAAGTTTTTTTTGTTGGGGGGGGGGGGGGAGTTTCATCATGCTAGGACGACTGTGATTTTTATAACTGAGCTTGTGCTATCGATGCTTGTACTTTTGAACAAAGGAAGCATATATACCTACATTCTTTCTTTTCCTCATGTGCTTTGTTTGAGGTGTGATGACAGTCAAATTTGCATGATAGGGCAACCATTTTCTGTGAGGCCGAGCTAACACCTTTCTGGGCAAAGTCATTTGCTGTAATCGTGCTCACATCTCGCACAGATAACAGCGTAGCCAAATACTTCATTCTATGGAAGAAACGACAAACTCTAAAGAATTTGAGACATGCAAAAACACCTTGAGGTGAGATCAAAAATACTCGTCAACGGAATGGAAGCAGGAGCTTATAAAATAAAGGAGAAATGCATTAAAAAAAACTAAATAAATCATATCTTTTGGATGAACTTTGGAGATAGTTAACCGTCACCACTGAGCGTAGATATCAAATTACTTTAGGAATTAAGGTAGGGGAAGAGGGAATCTGTACAGAAGACAAGAGGTTTTGCTGAGATTAAAGTCATCGAAAAAAATAAAAAAAATCTGCTAGCGTAACTAACGTAACGTTTTCCACTTTGTGCTCAACGATCCGATTTCTGGCTGCGTGAGCGTAACACACGAGTCGAAGGTGGAACTGCTTTTCTTGATACATTTTTCTTCACTGGTGGAATGAATGGCTTTTTCGGTGCTTCCTCATCTTTTACTTCACTTTCTTCTTCGGCTTTCACGTCCTTGATCGACGTATCATGACGAGGCAGCATGGGTGTCATTATGGGATCCTTCTGGAAAGGGAAAAGCGACATGCAAGGTAGGTTAAGCTTGCCATGCAACAAGCTAATCATGCACTTGTGATACTTAACCCAGCAGAAGAAATTGCAAAGATTCGCGGAGTACGTACAAGTTGTGACTTACTCGCACGTTACATGTAAAACTAAGGGCCGCATGCACTAAGCTCCCCGCGGGGAGGGGATCGCAGCTTAAAAGAAAGCTTTATATTTCAAAACTCCAGATAGCTGGATTTCATGTTGTGTATCTATCCGTAAGTATTCCTACTACCCTTCACTATGAACATGTTGAACAGGAGCGAGAAGCTGTACGAACCGCACTTTCCAGTTTTTGTATGATCCCTGATGATCCCCGGCGCTTTTCTTTAAAGTCATTTTTCTTTCTCCGAAGTTAACGAAAACCTTCCAAAGCTGTACTGAACATCTAACACAACAGTGCTAAGCATGTTGCTGTTTAGAACAAATGAGTTTTTGAAAAGTCGAATTTTTCGGTAAACCTCAAATTCCGACCTATGGACCATCAAAAATTTCATGACTTCAAAACATCATTTGTTCTTATCAGCAACTTGCTTAGCACTGTCGAATTAGACAACCTGCACAACTTTGGAGGTCACTCGTTGACTTCGGAGAAAGAAAAACGACTTCAAAGAAAAGCGCCGGGGATCATCAGGGATCATACAAAAGCTGGAAAATGCGGTTCGTACAGCTTCTCGCTCCTCTTGAACACGTTCATAGTGAAGGGTAGTAGGAATACTTACGGATAGGTACACAACATGAAATCCGGGTATCTGGAGTTTCGAAATATAAGGCTTTCTTTTAAGCTGCGATCCCCTCCCCGTGGGGAGGTTAGTGCATGCGGCCCTAAAAGCTTTCTCTCCCCCCCCCCCCCTCCCCCACCCTAATCGGTCCCCCCCCCCCTCCCCATCCCTGCAACCTCTCGCAATGTCGTGGTTAGTGAGGGGGAAGGGGGTGGGGATCGGGGGAGAGGGAGAAAGAAACAACTACTCACGTATCGAAAGAATTGAATAACCAAAAACCAGTTGTTGCTGCATGTTGCACACACATCTATTAAAAATTGTTTTTCTATACAATAAACGTCTTTTTACTCATAAACCTTTTTGCGTTAGGTCAAAAATAGTCTAAATCACTCCGAAAATACCAATTTTTGCTTTATTAAAAAGAATCTATCAATAAATAATTCGAAAGAGCAATAACTGAAACAAACGGAGATTATTGAGTCTTCTTGACCTTCGGTGAGATCTCCGCTTCATGCGATCGCTGCGACTCATAGTTGTGTGCTGCTCGCCCTCCATTCATACGTGTGGAACTTGATGGGGTATCTCGAGCAACACGCCGACGAACCTGAACGCGGTTTGATTTAAATTACAGTGACACAAAGCTGCAGTGCTACTTTCTACTTCAAAAATTATTTCTTATGTAACAGAAGACACTCGGAAAAAATTCCGGAATTAAACTCAAAAATCTTTAGCGATTTCACTCCAACGGGAATATCAGTGCTCACCCTTATGGGATCAATGGGTGTTGGCCCTGAACAAGCAGCCATTTGATAGAAGAACATCGCAAAAATAGCACAACACGACCTAAGCAGTAGATTCAGACGATTACCACGCAGAAAGAAGCATCTCACCAGATGATGGTGACATATTCAGCGCGATTCATAAAGTCTGTACCGCATACGGCGTAATACTCCAAAGGACGCAGCACTCCAGTACCATCGTCTTGCTAGAACTCAAGCGTTAATGACATGTTATCGTTATACGAGGAACAAATCTGCCTTGCCTGTTGAGGGGTACCGTTTGGAACACAGTGGAAATCGAAATAATTCTGCTGGAACTTGTTAGCGCACAGATATTTCTCTCTGTGGAGTGTCTGCAGAAGAAGAGCGTAAAGTTGATATGCTAACTGACGACCTACCAATCCAGCTGGAGTTCGTACACTTTCCATTGTTTTGCAAGGTCCGATGGGCTGATGAAGGCCCTGGAGAGGGTTTGGAGGAATTAATTAACAAAGTCTGTAAGACAGTTGTAATAGAGGGATTACTTACCTCGCTGACGACACTGAGAGGATCTGCTGAAGCAACTAACACCATAAGGAAGATATACTCCAGCGTTATCGCGCAAGAGAGTTCATCAAACCAGTAGCGCATACCTGAGGAGAAGTACAATCAATAAGTCATGAGCTATGGAATGCAAAAGTAGTAGGCGTCGGCCAAGAATCAGCTTACATAGGTATCCCGAACGTTGAAGGAATTGAACAAAGGACAAAGAGAACAAAGTGAGCAAAAACCCGCTCACCATTTCTAGCTTCTATATCCAGATTATTTCTATCAGCAATGAAGACCAGAAGGGCGTAGAAGGCAAGAAATACGATGGTGGTAATCTCGGTATGCACCTGAACAAGTTTTTCGGTCTATACGTTCCAGATCGGCTAAACAAACCTCAAAAAAGTCATGTAATGGATAGTAAAGTAGCGAGAACTGTGCGGTTCCTAGCCAGTACGACAATACTCCAGTAAGAAAGGAGCATGTCAACTCCTTTGGGAATCTAAAGATGCCATGTTTTAGATTCCAGCTCGTCTTACATTAGATGATCGTTACTTCATCCAGTCATATTCTTTTTCAAGCAACAAGCGTCTAGTTAGTCGGAGCATCCATACAAAAGAACAAGCACATGCGGCATAAAAATACAAAGAGCTCCATGGAGTCCAGAACATTCTGTAACATGTGGAAAATCGAAGACATACAGAAAAAGATGAGAAAAAACCTGTCTTTGATCGTTGGATCAGTATCGTGCCACGTCCACCACAGCAACTTCGTACCTAACATACGGAATGGTAATTGAAGCATCACAGAACTCAGGCCAACCGCAGGCCCTTCACCCCACCAAGGTAGGCGCATTCTGAAATGGCAATAAATATAAATTTACGCTCACACTCACCAAAGTGGACAATAGGAACTTAGAAGTGATTTTTATCCAAGACTGATACTGTTACTGTTATAAGGCCTGAGCTGACTTGACCTGTATTGGTGAAATTTTCAGGGCATCGTTAATCACAAAAAGTTGAAGAAGGATTAAACAGCGACCAATTTTTAATGAAGCAACAAGTCGGGGGAAAACGGCAAAAGGCGCCCTACTTCACAAGCTGTTCGAAAAACAGGAGCGCGCAGAAACTCCTAACCTTTATCCGTTAAAAGCTAGGTCTACCATTTGGATCGGAAGATTTTCCCGATAAAAAAAAAGTATGAATATTCTGTGGACTAATGAATTGTAAATGACGATACCTGCTAACAAGGACATAGGATGTGTAGAGAAACATTTGATGAAATCCAAAAAGGGCATAGAGAGGAACTCTCATTCCAAAAAAGCTCAACATACCCTAAACAGGATGATTATAAAATCAATGTTGCTGAGAAGAAAGATAAAACCTGTGCATGCCAATAAAGATTCAATTCTGGTACAGAGATAGCTAGTGTTTCGATGACAAACGCATGTACAGTTACGGCAATCCATGTGTATAGATACCGACCGCCATGACGATAGGCTAATTTGATATCGAATAGTGATTTGAATAAGAAACAAAAGGAAGTCTAAAACATACCATGAGCAAATGTGAGCATACATAAAAATCCAAAGACGAGCTCAGCAGCGAAAAAGTACGGGTTATTCTGGATCAATTCTACGGGACTTTTGTATTTGCAAAACCAATCCGCCCACTGAAAAGCAGCATGTGATATGAATGTGAACGCCTGGACGACATGAAGCTGATGCCGAATTAAACTGCTTGAAATTAGGCAATTTTCTCACGGAAAGAGAGTAAAAAAGAGCTTCTCAAAAACTGACTAAAGACCTAACTATAACACGGTACAAAACCTCACCTGGACCATGGTGACAGCTTTCTGACCTATACCTTTCCTAGTTTCAGGCGAGACTGTGAAAGGCAAGTTATCGAACAGATACCGATCCAACAGGTAGTCCATGCTGAAAACTTGATTTAGTCAAGGATACTTGAACCAAAAATAATTGTGAATAATGAAGTGAACGATCGGTGAAGATAGATGAAGTTGGCAAGAAGCGGTTCTAAAACTATGCATCAGGACGACGGACTGCCGATGATATGGGATAAGCCAAAACCCCAAACGTAGCCCTTACCAATCGAAGTAGGCAGAGAGGATATGAAAGAAGAAAACGCCTATTCAAGCGGTTATATCAGCTAGAAGACGGCCCCATTTAAATCTACAGAGTCGGCTGCGCGGGCGGTCGCGTCGCGCGCGCAGCCTTTAGCAGCAGGTCACGCTCGGGTCCGCCGTCATGCAATGCTGTGCTGTAACTAATCGATTGGTGGCAGATCGAAGGTACACCAGTTTACAATGTATGGGCTCTTCTCTTACGTCGAGCCACCAGGTGATGCGGAGACTCCAGACAGATATTTAAGAAGCCTGTTTTGGAGAAGTAAGTTTGCTACCTATGGGCAGCTTGGGCACCCAAGCTTGGATGGAATTTTCATAGGTGCTTCTCGGGTTTTTGAGATCTTGTTAATCTCAATTCAGTTTAGAGCTATGATCTTGACAGCTCCCGCGATTTGGGCAAATGGGACCCGGCATATTCCAGGAGTTGATTCCTGCGATTCCAATCCCTGTAGTGCCTGTGATTCTATGACTTCCGATGTATCGCACTACGGAGCGCTTTACGGATTATAAGTATACATTGTTTTTTCGCAACATACAATGTTGGGGACCCGCAGAAATCACAGAAATAGTATGACCGGTCCCAATGCGTTCGGATTGTGGGTTCATCTCAAACAGTCAATCTCAACCAAATTCTGACGGAGAAGTTGATGAGCATTCATTGTTGCCGCGCTCAGATTTTTACAACCCTGATCCTTACTTCTGATTTTTCTAATGGCAAATTGACTAAAGGTTACTTTGCGCCTGCGACTTGGAAAAGGTAGTTTGAAAAATCGAACAGTTTGTATGAAAAAGTAAGATCGATAGCTTGGTATGCTGAAACTTTTGTGCTAAAGATGGGTACTATATCAACAGATGACTTTTTTACGATAAGCACGCGGGCTCTTGCTCACCTTTTCGTGAACTTCTTCGCCTATAATGTAGTGTATCTGCAAAGATGTTCTGGAGAGAGATGCATGTCAATTATACTTACAAGATCTTAATTCTCAATACGCTTGGTCTCCTGAGTCTTCCAACATATATCTTTCTTGCATCCATTATCCAGCAGTTATAAAGAGTCGCCTTAGGCTGCGTTCATACTGATCCCGAAGTTCGGGAACAGTTCTAGCGGAGCGCTCGAACTGAACTTTGTGCTGGAACTGTTCCCGGACTTCGGGATCAGTATGAACGCAGCCTTAAGGCATCCAGACCTGATTATTCTGTACTTGCCCTATGTATGGTAGGGATGAACGCAGCATACCGAGGGACTTTATATGACAAAACAAAACCGCAGAGATTGATAGTACGTCAGGATTTCAGATGCCTTAGGTTGCTCCTTTTGCATAGTCACAACAAGATACGATGCGAAAAATCATATCCATCTTCGAAAAAGACCTACCATAATCAATAGTCCTGCATGAGTGGAAGATTTGGAGATGATAAGGATAATCGAGATTCATGGAAGCGTTCACTCTAGCAGGGTTCTTACGACAGTTTTAACAAAATAAAAAGAACTTGCGATACTTTGAAAGGATGTAAACATTCTAAGCATGCAAACGCATTTGGCGAGCTAAGCTCAAAATCAAATGAATGACATAACAACTCGTTCCGATCAAGCACTATGCTCGATCTTTCAGGAAAGATCGTCACATTCCATTGTCACAAAAGCCGTTAACTGCCACATTTCAATGTCAAAACCATTGGATGCCACATTTCAATGTAGAAACCGTTGGTGTTGTCAAGTCCAGATAGCGCGCAAGGAAGTGAATAAGCATCTATCTACATCCAGTAGAGTGCAGCGCATACGGCAAGCGTGACCTGATGATAAAGGCTGCGCGCGCGACGCGACCGCCCGCGCAGCCGACTCTGTAGATTTAAATGGGGCCCTAGAAGACGTCTACAAAGAGGAGCGATTAGTCAGAACTCTTTTGAAAACGTGCTTTATGTTCCTTCCTAGATTTGATTGCGGAAAGTGCTTGGAAAAGCAATTTTTCAAAGCTCGCTGATAAGAATGTGAATGATGAAGAAAGGAAGAAAAAACCAAATAATGGTTTGATTACGCCAACTTCGCGCCGCGGAAAATAAATTTGCATTCGGCGGCAAGTTCAAACCCGCATTCATAGTGAATTCGCAATATAAGCGATTACAACTTATGCTTACAAAGCAAGTTATTGTAGCAGCTTGATTAACGCAGTTGGCATCAGTTGCAAATGGTGGATATATCTACGGTAAAGGAATGAAGTGATTATCGTTTCGTGTGAGACAACCTCGAAAAGCTTTGGACACGTGTGATTAACAAGTTGAAACATGTGCTCTAATTTATCTTGGATGTAACAATCTTGGAAATCAGAGAGCAAACATGTTTGAGCCTGTGTAACGTGTGCAAAGCGTTTTCGAGTATCGCAGTTCAAAAACAAAGAACTATCCCACCAAAGATGCATCCTTTATATCTTTTTCTACCTAAAGGTATATTCTTTGCATAAAATGCTCGTTAGCCAGGCTGGTAAGCACTGTGTGACGACTGATGACCAGCAAGTATTACTCAAATATTTGAACAGTGCGATCAATGTGGTACAGATCGATGGGTGGCTGGTGTCAACATTGCAAACAAACAGTTATATACTAGTATATATATATATATATATATCTGTTGTAGTTGGCGATTATCTTACTCTAATTTCACGAGCATAAGACGCACCTTTTTCAAACGTTCTAAACAAGCAGCTCGGCGACACTACTGTGCCTTGCAAAGTGGTTGCTCTCCCACAAAATCCTTCCAGGTAAGGAGCGGCAGGGTAGGGGTCTTTTGGTCGCGAAATTTTTCAGTATGTTCAGGGGCTGTTCAGAAGAAAAACAAGTGGCTCCTGTACATTGAAATTAGGGTGCATTTATTAGGTAAAACTGAGAGATTTGGTGTCTTCTACGACTATGCAAGTACTTTGTTTGTAAGGATATTCTTGGGCTCTTTTGAATCAAAAGGTTCGGGACTTGAAATAAAGACTTCCCTAAAGGTCAAGGAAAACTTTAACTCTGCCAGCCGCTAATTGCCAGCTGTTCGCAAGGGGAAGAGGAACGTATAAAACTTCATTCTGAAGGCACGCGTCCCCTCGAAATGATGGATACCGGGATTTTACAGTGTTGTGATGGTAGACCCTCCAGCTAATCTACCAGTGAAGACTGGAGCGAGAAAACGCTTCTAGAAAGCTCAAAATCCGCTGCGGAAGTCTTAACAAAGAACTATCCCACCAAAGATGCATCCTTTATATCTTTTTCTACCTAAAGTGTCCGGGCAAAAACTCGATTTTGAGATTTTGTGCTTACTTGGGCCTATTCGCTACGCTGAATCCGAAAATGCACATTGAAAAGCGCGAAAATAGCGAAAAACGGCTATAACACAGGAGGAAAATGAGCAGGTGGGCGGGGTCCTCCCCACTGCAAATTCACGTTCCCAGCTTCCGGAGCGACCTTCTCGCTTCCAATTTCAAGTCAATCATTCGCACTTGTCCGGTAGCGATGTTAGAACGGCTAGCGGAATCGAGAAAATCGCTCTAGAAGCTGGGAGCGTAAAATCGCACTGGGGAAAGCCCCGCCCACCTGATGATTTCCCTCCTATATTAGGGTCCTTTTTCGCCGTTTTCGCGCTTTCCAATGTGGATTTTCGGATTCAGCATGGCGAATAGGCCCGTATAAGCACAAAATCTCAAAATCGAGTTTTTGCCCGGACACTGCCTTTAAGGACGCCGCCCATGTCCAGACTCCGCGCACTTCTTACACGTAACTTGGAGCGAACGCAGATACGGAAAACTTTTGAAAAAGCTCATTTTCGTAGTTTTCAAGCGCTGGCGATAAGCTCAGATGTGGCTTCAGCATGGCGAGAAGGCTCCGGAGAGGTAAAAAACCGGAGAGCGAAATTTTGCCGGGACACTGCCATCAACTACTCAAATGTTTGGAGCTATCTAGATGGAGCCTCAATTGAAAGACCACCTTTGGACCATAAGACCCATATGCCATCAAAGAAAAAAAATACGAGAAAGTTTGACATCAATTGGTATGCCGGTATGTATCTATGTTGTGTGTATGTCCTAGACGGCAGAACATTCACGGAACGTGTTAAAGCAAAATTTGTTTTCTTTTTTCTCGTGGTGTCTAGCTAATTTTTACGAGCTGGACATCTCATCTGTCATAATTGAGTAGGAGTCGTAGCCGACGCTACCGTAGTGAACGTAGCGCCGTGGAAGCGGCTAACTCAACGGTAGGAACACGGTGGCAAATCATCATTTATTGTAAGAAACCAACAATGCTGCAATAGGTAATAATTTATTGGCAAAAGTATATGAACGGATCACAGAGGTCAACGATGTTGGATAGATGCTGCAGGTGGTTCGGAGTGTAGGCGGCATCAGCCGCTCGGTGGCTGGACGATCTCAACAATGAATCTGCTTTCCTTCAGCTTAGCTTCTGGTCGACCACGCCCTGAACGAATGAGTCATAATATCGCATTCTTGAATAATCTCCGATCTAACCGTCTCCGATCTCTTACACCTCCCCCATTTACCAACAAGTCCGTCCTCGGACTTAGGCGGAGGAGTAAGGGGTCGGGGTATGACATCAAAGAAAGTTAAGGAAGACATACCATTATGAAGGTGGAAGGTATGTACTGAGCTGTGCAGCTTGAATAACAGATCGTCTGCTGTTGGCCCATTGGATGATTGTTGTCCATGAGTTGATCTTTGCTAGTGATGCCACGTGCCCCAGGAGGAACAAGCCATGGCGTGCCCGGGTGAGTGCGACATTCAAGCGCTTGCGGTCGTCTAGGAACTCGGTGGAGTCAGGGTCAATATCGGTACGGGTGGTCAGGAGGATGACAATGTCTTTCTCGCGGCCCTGAATTGAGTCCACGGTGGCGACTTCCACGTGGGTTTGTTGAGCAAACGTTGAAAGATGACGGAGTTGTTCTTTGTAAAACGTCAGTATGCACATGGAGTCCGGCTGAATGTGGCGGGCTCGCAGACGCTCGACGATGGCTTGGCAAACTTGAGCTTCGGCATCGTTGTAGTAGGAACGGCTTGCAGCACGTTCTGCGTTTCCGGCAACGTCTAGTATCAGAAATGGGGTTCGTCCGTCTGGTACTCGCATGACGTTCAAAAGCAAGGACCGGTGAGCTTCCTGTACGCCATTCTGTAGCGTTCCTCCATACATGAACGTATTAGCCAAGTCATTGAGTCCGGGGTGGGCTCGATAAGTGGTGACCAAGGGAGCAACGGGGACAGCTCGTGCCGCTGTCAAGACGTCCATGGTGCTCCTGGCTCCATACTTGACTAGGTTACTTGATCGAGGGCAGCGGACGTGGGGGTCCAACTGATGGACATCACCAATGCATATATGGCGGGCCTGCGGCAGACGATTGGCCATTGCGATCAGAACGGGCTCCGGTATTTGAGAAGCCTCGTCCGATATCAGGACGGTGTAATTGGGTAGGTAAGCTTCAAAGAGTCCCTTGGGGCCGGACGTATTCAGCAGCGACGCTGTAGTTAAGCGGATGATCTGAGGTGCACTCACTCGAAACATGATCTTCACCATCTGGTTGATGGTTTCCGAGACATCTTTCTCGGCCAGGATATATTCGTCTCGTTGTTGTTCTGTGAGCTCCTGGTTGATCTGGCCGTGATAGAACTCATAGCGCAGCCGGCCGTCACGGAATCTCCGGCAGGTGCTCTTATCCTGTGCATTCAACTGCGAAGCGAACTCGTCACCGAGCCGTTTGAGCACCTCGTTCAGATCCACCGACAGTGGATTGGTTTCGTCAGCGGCCACAGTCTCGGAGACAAATCGGAGGATGCGTACGTTGGCAGCCACGTCGATATCGAGCAGAGTGCGTGCAAACTGGGCGACAGCGGCGTTGGTGGATGCCGTCACCACGATGCGGCACTGCTCCGTGCGAACGAGGCGTGAGGCGATGAAGGCGCCTACCATGGTTTTGCCTGTGCCGAACGCGGCTTGGATGGTTACGATGGAGTAGTTTGAACATCCCACTTCAACGGCCCGACGTTGGTCGTGTGATAAGACGACTCGACGGTTTTTGATTCTGAGGGGTGTATCTGCCTCGGGCAATGAGGGAACTCGGTGCGTTGCGGTTTGTTCACAGGACGCGGGTGTAAGCCCGTAAATTCGATTCACAGCCCTGTCAGCGGGCGTTCCGGGCCGCATGCGGTCGAAGAGCTCCATGCGGGATACGGCTTCGTACGCTGACTCAGAGGCAGCGGATCCTCTGCTGAGGCGCACGGTCGCACGCAGATACCACGTCGTGTCAATGAGCGTGCCCAGTCGTTCGATAGCGTCGACCACCGCTTTGTGCGACCATGGGTATGCCAGAAGGGTGACGCGTAATTGACGATTTTCGGAGTTAAGGCTCACTTGGTGGACCTTGACGCTGAGTGGGTAGGGAACTCCGTCAATCCACATTTCTATGGGACGGCCCTTTTCCCATCCTCGTTCGGCCGTCATCCCGGCAACGGTGAAGGACAACTGGAGGGGGTAGACTTTGAGTGAAGCGATGCTCACGTGGACCCAGCGAGCAAGGCGATCGTCGCCTTCCGATTTGACTGCTGCAAGTCCGGAGCAGGCTGCGTTGAATAGGTGGCCCAGCTTGTTCCGTGCTGCTATAGGATCGATGATATAATTGTCGAATTGGTACTCGCGATCGTGCAGCCATGCTACATCGTTCGGTCCTAGTTTGCTGACTCTGAGTGGGAGCATACCTTGCCTGGGGTGGCAGGGGACCGTATGGCGGATGAGCTCGCAGAGAGTTTTCCGAGCCTCTACGGATACTGGAGGTTCTGAGAATCGTATGGCCGTGGAGACATTGTGGCGTGACTGCGCGACGATCATCTCATCTTCGGCTATCTGCGTCAAGGGGAAATCCGCGATGGCTGGCGTAACAATCACGGCTTCTGGCGAACCTTCGAATGCTGCTGTGAATCTGGCCGGTTGATGGTTCTTCCGAAGGACGCGGATGACATTGCCCAGTACGTTGTATGTCCATACGTGGGGCGCTATAAACGCGAATGTTGCCGCTCGGAAAAAGGAGACTACGTCAGTATCGATCGAATACGTTCGTGGGGAGCGAGCACGTTCCAGGACCATCTCGGGGTCGCGAAGAGCTTGAGGAGAGGATTCTATCGTCCATACCCAGACAAAATCCTTGACTGAGACGAGTGATTTGTCGAATCCGCGCCTATCCGATTGGACGTTAGTTGCGTACTGATCCAATGTAATGCAGTGAAGTTCCTTGAGGTCGGGGCCCGGAATGAAAAAATCTTTGGCTTCCAGGATAAGCGACTGCCCCCTATTCGTGGCTACGACCTGGTATAGAACTGGGCGACGTCCCTGAATTGCTGGTGGTGGCGTTGACATTGTTGGATGCTTGCCAAGTGGTGCTTGCGAGCGTCTATTTTCGATTCGGGTAAAGACTCCAGACAGGAGTTTGTTTTTGATGGCACTGGCTTCCTGACGGAAGCGGATGGCGGCCTCTAGTGTTTGCAGCTCTATGAAAGGAAGACGTTCCGTTCTGCCTACCCTTCGGACGTTGACGTAAGGGAACAGTGATTTGGCGAAGCGGTATCGAAGGTATCCGGATGTAGGGATGTGCCGATAGTCCTCAATAGGAAGCTCGTTGGTGATGTCGTGGTCGGTGAGAGACGCGAGGCGTAATTCGCGTGGCCGGACAAACGGTGCCCACGGGTGAAGGTTGATAAGTTCGTGATAAAAGTCGGGTGGGGTTTCCTTGGGGATTTGGGGAATGAGTCGAGGGACAATCGGGCGTGCGGGTTCTGGGTTCCAAAGAGAATATCTTGCATGGTCAAGCACCGGGCTAAGGTCCCTCCCAGGGGCATTGGTGGGCATTTGTGGAGCCCTGGTTAAAAGAAAACGATAAACGAAGTCAAACTAATGGAAGGAAATAAGAAATAAAAGAAATGTAATGAGGAAAAAAGAATATATTGATCGACCTTACCAACCTGGTTGAGGGTGCAGGTGACGCTTGCATATCAGTTTCCTTTGCTCCCGAGTCAGTGGATAGATGTGAAATAGAGGCGGCTTGCGGGTCAGCACCTTGGACCGTCTCCGACAAAATGGATGAACCGCGTTCCATGGCTTCTTCCTGCTGTTGAGCTGGAATGAAGTTGCATGAGTATAATGTATGGCTGTCTCATGAGTGAGACTCCATTTAAGACGTGTGGAGACGTCATTCAGACGTAGATGTTACAGGGAAAGCCTAACCTAAGGTGTTTTCTGTAGTAGACTCAGCCGGGTCGGGATGCTGTTCAGGTGTAAACGATTCAGACATTCGTGCAACTGGGTTGGTTGCTCAGAATTATCTGTAAATAGACAGATGGATTTGACCGTAATTGGCGTAATAGAACGAATACGACGCGAATGCGGTAGTGAACGTACGTACGGTATTGAGCATGAACACACGATGAGATGGGGAGCAAATGATGGAACGAATGGATGATTTTAGTTACGTTGCGTATTATAAAGTGGTGAATAAGGAGGAGTTGGAATCATAGCGAAGTTCTTCGTGTTCGAAAACGAGTGTTGTACTGATGAGTAGGAGTCGGTTGAGGTGCAGGAGGAGGTTCAGTAACTGTATCGGAGACATAGCCTGGTATATCAGAATCGGTTGCCTGGTGATGTTCTAATATGAGTTGTTCAGGTTCAGGAACCCATGGTGTTGTAAATGCGGGTCCGCTAAGCTCGAAGCACTTTTTGACTTGGTTCATATGTACGCGTTTAGGTTTTGAATGCGGAGATGAGATACTAAGGATAACCAAATGGGGTGGTTTACTTCGAGAACACGAAATTGGCCCAACCATGGGAGTGAAAGTTTTGTGGATAAGCCCACTTTGGGAGCAAAATCGCGCAAGTATACTCGATCGCCGACTTTGATGGAAAGAGGAGCTAAATGGGTATTGTCGTATTGAGCCTTGAACTTAGCACGCTGAATTTCGTTGTATTTGGCGGCCATGCGCCAGGATGCATGCAGGGTTGCAACAAGATTTTCTAAATAGAGGCTTGAGTCCAAGTCAGATGGAGTATGACGTTCTATATCATGTTTAATGAGTAGATCTATGTTGAAAAGAGGATCGCGACCGAAAACGAGAAAAAATGGGGTATTGTTGGTGCTAGAATGAACCGAAGTGTTGTACATGAACGCACAGGCGGGGATAAATCTGTCCCAGTCAGTCTGATTTTCATTTATGTAAGTGCGTAGCATAGGATGGAATGTAGCAAATATGCGTTCGCATGCACCATTACCTTCGTGATGGTAGGGGATTGTGAAGTATCTCCCAATGCGCAGTAAACGTCCTAATTCAGAGATCAATTCTCCCTTGAAGTACGAGGCATTATCAGAAACGAGCTGAGTCATAACGCCGAATTTCAGAATACACTCAGTGAGGATAGCGTGAGCTACAGTGACTGCAGTGCAATCCGTTAAGGGCGCAACGATCACATATTTAGAGAAATGATCAATGAGAGCAAGTACATACTTATTGCCTGAATCGGAAGTTGGCAAAGGGCCGGTCAGATCCATATAGACTTTGTGAAAGATAGCTGATGAAACAATTGGAAGCAGTTGTTCTTGGTTACAGGCTTGGGTTCGCTTTCTCTGGCATAACTCACAAGCTTTTACTAAGGCAAATATCTGTTCGGACATATGTGGCCAGAAGTATTTGCGAGAGATTTTGGCTAGTGTTTTACGCCAGTTAAAGTGACCCCCTGCTGTCGCGCTGGAATGGAAAGCCAGGAAAACTGGTTCTTGGAGATGTTCTGGTAGAAAGAGACGTTCTTGGATGGAATTTGGTTTGTGTTGAAGCTTGGTTAGGTGGTAAAGACAACCGTTTGGGCGAAGGCGGCAATTTTCAGTAAGTGCGAGCCAACTGGATTTTTCAGTTTCTGCGATATGAGTGGGAAAGCGTCCCGTTTCAAGAAAAGACATAAGTGATTTGCATGTAGGGTCCTTTTTTTGTTCTAAAAGAATATCATATGGTTTGATATGAAGTGGAGACGTGAGATAAATAGTTGAAGAGCGAATGGAAAACGGGATTGAAGTGTGCAAAGCTAGACAATTAGGAAAATCAATTATGTCCTCCGTTTCGGGTGTATTATCCTGAAAACGTACGCTGGGGTCGACAGATCTGGAAAGGCAATCGGCTATAACATTTGAAGAACCTTTCAAGTATTCTATGGTCACATTGTAGCTTTGTAATTCAATCACCCACCTGGCTAGGTTGTCGTGGGTCTTGTTGTGCTTGAGAAGGTATGTCAAGGGGCGGTGATCTGAAAATATCCGGGTCAGGTGACCGTAGATAGTCGCCTTAAAGAATCGGAGGGCACTCACCATGGCAAAGAGCTCAATATGTGTCGGGCTCCACTCTCGTTGGGAATCAGACAAACCTTTGCTGAAATAACCTACCGCTACCAAGGTTTTGTCGTCGTGGTGGGCTTGCTGAAGCAGAGCTGCTCCCACCGCGGTTTGGCTGCCATCGGTGTGTAGGATGAAATCCTTGTCCTGGGGAAAGCACAGACACGGTTTGGCTAGTAGCTTGTCGCGTAATTCCTGAAAGGCTTCCTGCTGTCGGCTAGTCCAGACGAACTTGACTTTGTCCTTTGTAAGTTCGTAGAGAGGAGCCGCTATCTCCGCGAAGTTCTGGATGAATTTTCTGAAAAAGTTAGCCATACCTATGAATCTTTTGACTTCCTTCGGTGAAGAGGGGACCGGTAGATTTTTGAGAGCCTGAAGATTTCTGTCACACGGATAGTAGTTGTCTCCTGAAATCTCGTGTCCTAGGAAGGTCACCCTAGCGCGGGCTATGTCAACTAGTTTTTTGCCTGATATTTTGATGTTAAAGTCGCGGAAACGAAGTAAGACTTTTCGCAGCGAATTAAGGTGGCTGGGAAAATCTTTGTTGAACACGACAATATCATCTAAATATGCGAGGCAGTTTTCTTCTAGGCCAGCCAGTATGCGTGACATTGCGCGGCAAAAGTAGGCTCCAGCATTTTTGAGACCGAATGGAAGGTAGACGAACTGATAGATGCCGCGGTGCGTCGCCCAGCCGCACTTGGTTTGGCTCTCAGGAGATAGGAGCAGTTGCATGTACCCTGAGGCAAGATCTAGGGAAGTGTAGAATTTATGCCCTGCAACCTTCTGTAAAATGTCCTCGATTCGAGGGAGCGGGTAATAGTCTGGGACCGTGATCTCATTCAAGGGTCGAAAGTCTAGACAAACGCGAAGTGAGCCGTCCCGTTTTTTGACTAACACCGTGTTATGGACCCATGGAGTGTCGCTCTCCTTTATCCTACCTGCTTCTAGCAATTTGTTTATGTGGGCGTCTAGTTCCTTTTGGAACTTGACGGGGATGCGTGTAGGTCGGAATCTGTGAGGAGGAGTTTCAGTGGTAGTTTTGATGTGGATTACGTCGGTGTCATAGGAGCCTAGGTCGTAAGAGTCATGTGAAATGCGATCGCGAAATTCACAAAATAGCGCTTGCAGCTGGACCTTTTCAGAATTTGAGATATCGGCTTTACTAAGGTCTACTGCAAAATAGTTATCAGCTACTTGATCTGCGTTGGGGCTAGAGGGTGTGTTCGGGTGGAGGGCGGATAGAATCATGCTAAAAACGCGATGGTTCAAGCAGAACGCCCTGCTCCTCTACCAACGGCACGGCGGTAGCCACCTTTTGGTTTTTGTAGAGGACATATGGACGATTAGTAGGGTTTGTGACTAAAATGCGTGTCGTACCTGAGGTGAGCACTACCGGGGTGACGAGTAGTGATTGCTGGAGTAGTTCTTCTGGTTGAGTAACAAGCATCAGCGGGGCGGTCGGGTCTTCGGAGGTGTAGCATGGTACGTAGGTCTCCCTACCAGGTCGCAGAGGGGTGGTTTCGGAGACGCGAACAATCAACTCGCCGTCCTCGCATCGGGGATGGGAGGATGACGTGAGGATGCGTATAGATTCGCCGTTCACTGAAAACAGTTTTCTGTTGTAGTCGATAGACCAGGATGGTAGTTGGGCTAGAACATTATTACCCAGGATGAGATTGAATGTGTCGGCTTTTCGAGGGAGGCACGATCCGTCTATGAAATGCACCGTCGCGCTTACCTTTCTTGTGCCTACCTGGATCTCCAGTTGGGAGCTGCCGAGAAGGGTAATGGGGATTCCAGCCATGCCTATGGCCGTTTGCACTGAGCTTTTGTCCAGGTGAAAGATTCCCAAGAGAGTGGCTAGACTCAGATTCGCCACGGAGATTGCCGCACCCGTGTCGATTAGTCCTAAAAGGGCTATACCGTTTGCCTTGACTGGTATCTGGGCCATGAAGAAGTTTTGCTCGCTGTCTAGAGACAATACCCGAACAGTAGCCAAAGAGAGTTTAGGAGGCCAGGTACTAGATGGTTGTATCTCAAGGTGGGTGAGTCGTATAGGTTGGTCATCTACGGGGGCCGTGGTGTGTGCGTATGGTGCAGGAGTAACCTCCAGGGGGGGACTGCTCGTCGCCTCAACCGGTGGAGGGATTGGGCGGAGCGGGAAACCAGGAATGGGTAGTTGTGGAACAAGACCAGCGAGATGAATTTTGATGTAGAGTGCTAGAAGGGTTTTGAAAATCGATGCGGTTACTATAGCACAACACGCTGTGGTCCACAAATCGTAAAAAGAGAAACCGAGTAGATTGTAGAGACTGTAGTGTTGGCCTGGGGAGATTGAGCCGTCGGTGGTATGACCAGTACTAAAGTCGTGACCTACTGTAGACAGTACCTTTTCGAAATTCCTGGCGGTCCAGAGTTCCTGAAGTTGGTGATCCTGAACTATCTCACTTAAATTAGTAAGCATAAGATTGTGAAAGATTGTCAATGATGGCGTAGCGTACGGTTCCTGGGCAGCGGGGATGAGTGAAATGTTCGGGACTGCTGCGTTAGGTATGTAGACGCGACTACCGGTTATGGCGTCAAACCTAAGCACGCCGCCTGCTGCGGGGAAGTAGAATGGTGGGACTCTAGAGCAGGCCAGGGGTTCAGCGTCTGGAGTTATCATCCGGTTATGGGGATCGACGAAAGTCCGCCAAGAAGAGCCGCTAGGTAGTAGAAGCTGGATATGGGGTTTGCTGAAACAGGAAGCATTGAACGGTAGGATTTGATAGTTTGCGTCGGGTATGCGGATACAGTTATGGACTTGGACTAAACCATTACCTAAGTAGGTTGCGGCGATATTCTCCTTATTAAGGAGCTTCCGAATGGTGTATGTGGGGTCCGTCTTGAGAGCTGAGTGAAGCGAGAATGCTAGCATATTGGTTCGTTCGCACAAGGAAGCTAATGCGTGCTGAAAAAGGGCGGCTGTTGAACCTTGGACTGCGTCCTCTACTGCAAGTAATTGCGCCGCTAGCTGGTTGGATGTAACCATACCCACCTGAGGTTCGGATGAACGTGCGACGCGTCTAACCTTGGTTACTGCGTAACCCTGGTCGGTGAGGGTTAAAGAATGTTGGCAATCCGACAGCGTAGGGCTGTCGTTGTGCCAGGACAGGGCGAACTCTTTGGTGTCACTTATCCAGATATTACCGAGTAGGTGGCCGCGCATCTTGGAGATCAGAATGTACGCGCAAAGTTCTTCCGAAGATGGTACCCAAATGAGCGCAGACCCGTCCCTTAAGGTACACGCGCCATCTTTATAGGTGCAATGCTTCACATCACCCAAGGCTGTGTCGGGAGGCTGGGATCCGTGACGTGCGTGGATGACCGTGGGAATAACGTAGCAATTCGTAACTGAAAGCTGATGATCCGTGCAGCAACCGAAGGGTGCGGAGGGGTAGTCAAACAGGAGGGAGTTGTTGGTTTTGTATACCCCGTCGATGACTTGCATTGTACCATACTCACATCTGTGATGCTGTTGCATCTGGCGACAGTGCTCTACTGAAACGGTTTTGTACGTTTCGGAAAATGACTGTCGGCGGGCGCCAAAAAAGTTAACCGAATAAGTTACCGTTTGGTGTACTACTCTACACAAGGACGCTGGTGTGTCATACCGCTTGGTATTGGGTCGGTAGACAAGAAGTGATGTGGCCATAGGTTTTTCCGAAAAGTTGGGCACTAGGTAAGAACAGTTATGAGTCGATGGGATGAAGCTGATAGGATCAGATTTGTCATGAGGACATAGCCAAAGAGATTGGGAAGCATCAGCACAAAGGAAACATGTTGCCAGGGAGATAGCCAAAAACAAGCAGTTAATGCGTGGGAGAATAGAGGCCGAAGGTGATGGTGAAGATTCTCCAAAAACATGACGCGCCAGCTCCTGATTGCGCTGCACTAGTGCTGAAATTCTAGCGTTCGAGTTCTGCAGAGCTGACTGGCTTTCTTGCAATGAGACTGATAGAGATTGAATTTGTCTGCGCGCGTCCTGTAAATCGACCTCGGAATGGGGGGTGACAGTCATAAGCCTCGGGTTCGCAGAAGGGGCGGAGAATCGCGGGCGTGATGATGAGCGAGAAGACCGACGCGGTGCATATGACCGAAAAGGAAAGCGACCTACCTGTTGTCGTTGTCTCCTGCGCGAAGGGCACTCGGACGCGAAGTGTCCCTTCCCTTCGCAGATATAGCATCGAGTCTCCATAGTCGGTTCAATAGGTGCTGGTTGCGCGGGCATGTCCTGAAAGCGTACACGGTTTTGACTAGTGTTGCGGAAATTCCTTTTAGAAGAACTGTTCGTGTAATATTGCCTCCGCGGACGGGGTGGAGAGGCCGGCGGGTTATCATATGAGCGTGGTTTCCTACTTGGTGTGGGCGAGTTACCGGATTCGATAGCGCTTACCGCAACGGGCACTGCAGGTTGGGAAGGGTGGATAAGGCGTTCCGTAGAAGCTTCGTTGAGGAGATTTTCCACTCGTTCTGCTTCAGCCAGGGCGTCCTCCAAATTAGCTGGGTTTGCGAACCTAACGTGGAATCTAAGGTCAGCATGTAATCTCTGTAGAAACTCATTTAGGAAAAGGTCGCTCTGGAGCTCGGGCTGCTTGCCGGTTGCCGTACGAAGTAGGTTAAGCAGGCGAAAGGCAAATGCCGAGCACGACTCGCCTGGTTCCTGTCTGCATGTAGTTAGAGCCTGTCGGGCGTCCGCCATTTGCTTGGGTCCCTCGTAGTGTTTCCGCAGAAGATTGACTACAGCCTGATAATCCTGTTTATCCTGCGGAGAGAGTGTCTCAACCCTTTCTCTGGCCACGGACTCTAAATGCGCAATCAGGTAATTGGCTTTGTCTTCAGACGCCGTGATCTTACGTAGGCGCATAGAGTCTTCTAAGCGGCGAAGCCACAGGGAGAATGACTGCGATGTTGAAACACCGCTGAACGGTTTGTCTCGGGTGGGGAGCCCATCAGGGCAACAAGTGCTTATTATTGGAAACTGCTCCATACGGGAGCCTACGGTAGCAAAAGACTCATTGATACCTTGTAGTAGGTTGGAATTTCCCTGATTGATTTGTTCCGCAAGTTGGGATGTCGACTTCTTGGCGTCGCGCCATGCGTTGACGAGGGCTTCCGTGGTGGCTTCCTTCAATTCCCTGGCGTCGCGACCATGGACAGTTGACGAGTCTTCTAGATCCACCAAGGCCATGTTGAGAGGTGCCGTGATGATCTCCACGGATGTTGGTACGCCGTCGATTGGGGAGCTAGATTGTTCCTGGTTAGCTTTGGATCGAGTAACCGGAACCATAAACTGAAATAAATGTAGATGATGAACCGTATAGCAAGTGACAATACGATACTATAACGTCAGGCAAAACTCAATGCTGAATAACAATGTAGAAAAAAGGAGCAAGCGCTTTTGCGACACTGTCTCTCCCCTTGGGGAGGGCCAGTCTTATATACCAGGGGGAAAGCGCGTGGGTGGGGGTGATCTTATCACTGAAAGGTATTCGGCAACATTAAACTATTTTCCCTTGCTTTTATCTCTAATATCTGCATGCCCATGTAATCTCCCAGGGAGTCTCCCAGGCTACGTGCACCGGGAAGGTTTGCTCTTTGGTATCTCGCTCAAGATCTTCTTGGTATTTTCCCAGCACCCTATCACGGCTGCGATCTCGTCGGCGCATGCGTTGGGAAAATAAACAAAATATGCGCGCGGGGATATTCTCCGTGTGTCAACATAATTTCAAAAATGTAAGCATACGAGATACGGTAGCGTTGGAACTATGGTGCTTGTGACTCCGATAAGTATACTGATAACCAGGATTCTCTACATTCCGTGGCGGGGAGGAAGGGGAGGGAGCTTCAGCAAAATGTGGAAACGCATATTGATATACGGACCCGAGATGGATTGAGGCTACCCAGCAATACCGGAAACTTTGATCGTTTCAAGTGTTTTCCCTTATTTTGCGATAGAACGTTTTGTGGCTACGCGATTGACCCGACCTTCATTGTGTACGGGAATGATGATCACAGCGATGCGTTTGAGGACTTTGAGATTGCCTTGGGATAGGTAGCACGGAGGAGATTAACTGTATGCTAGTACGAAGGTAGGTGATACGTTGGATGAAATTGATGTGCCACAACCGCGCAAGTAAATTTTTCGGCCCGAAATCGGCAGAATTCTTAATGGCAGGAAAAACCTCCTTTTTGTGTGAAAATGCTAT